GATTTAATGTTAGAGAAAAAAATAATAATTTGAATATATCTTCATCTCCATGTGGATAAATCTCAAAAAGACAAAGAAAATAATCATATTCATGGTAGCTGGGCATAGTACATGCCTGTAATCCCTGCACTCTGAGAAGCTCAGGTAGGAGAATTGCAAGTTTGAGTGCAGTCTGGACAGTTTAGCAACCTACTACAATTCTGTCTCAAATAAAAAACAAATCAAAAGAAAATGAAACAAAAAGGCTAGTAAAGTAGTTCAGGGCAAAGACCCTGGGTTCAATCCTCAGTAATACACATGCCCACTACCACCACCACCATCACCCCCCTAAAAAAACCTGTATGGTGATTTTTTTCCAGTACTGGGGATGGAACCCAAGCCAAGTGTGTGGCAGTGATGCAGAGAGGGCATGGAGAGTGTCAGGGCCCTGAGGTGGGAAGGACTGTGGTGTGCTCATGGACCAGAAAGGAAGCTGGTGCAGCTGAGACATGCTGGCAAGATGGGTGAGTGGGACAGATCAGGGCAGGCTGGAAAAGGAAGGCCAGCCTTACAGGCCAAAATGAGGCTTTGGACTCACACAGGTGCATCAGGAGGCCTGGGGAGGCTTTCAGGCAGGGCAAGGCAAGTCATGACCAGAAGTCTGTCTTCTGTGGGTTACCCCAGCTCCATCCTCTTCTGGGCCTCCTCTTCTGTCAACAACCCCCACCCAAATTTCCCAGCAATGGAGTGGTTGAGGAACCAGCAGTCTTTGTTTGTGGCCTAGAGCTGTCTCCTACAGAAGATGACTTGTAAATTACACTCTGGTCTTTGTTCACAGGGAATGTACAACCACTCCAGAGATGCTTTGTGGTGTTCATACCCACACCCACGCAGGCCTGACACAAAGGCAGAAGGATCCTCAAATGGGCATTTTCAACTGTTTCTTGTGCTTCTCTGTTCTTCTACATTATTAGGGGCCATGAAAGTGAGCAGTAGATAAAGGTTACATCAACAAGGGATCCAGCTCCTGAGAGTTTTATAATATTTGAATAAATTGAAAGATAATATGTCCTGGTTGAGAAAAATAAAATGCTATAGAGTAAGCTATCTGTTGAAATTATGTTCTGGATTGACTATTCAAAAATCTCAATATTTCTTTGGAACTAAAAATATTAACAATAGCCAGCATTTACTAAGCACCTACTATGTGCCAGGGATTGAGCTTGTGAGGCAAGTGTCTGTCACTCTTATCCCTATTTTACAGATCAAGATTGTAAGGCCTAGAGACAGGTAAGTTACTTGTCAGTGTCACAAGGCTGCCAAATGTTGAAAAGAGCCTGATACCCAGGCCACAGATGCTCCCAGTCCCCAGGGCCCATACCTGGCCTGTGTTGTCTATCCTCAAAGCTAATGCTCTTAGCTCTTTTATGACTATCTTAGAATATGTATGGACACATAAAGCATTGTAGACACCAAGTGATTTTTTGAAAAAAGAAGACCTCATGAGTCTTGTTAGATGTGAGGAATTATTGCAAAGAACCAATATTTATATCAGTATAGTATTTGCTAAGACCAAGAGTCTCTATTAGGAAAAGGAGAATTCAGAACTATACCAACCAAAATAAAAAGGCTAGAGGTTTTATTATGTATATGATAGGAAAGGACTGCTTAATAAGGGGAAAAATATGAGAAAACGAAAAATGGAAATAAAGTGTTTGTAAATGGGGAGGGAAGGAGGGGGTGAAGGGAGGGCAGGGACAAGGGGAAAAAATGAGAACCAAAACCACCTGTCATGTAAAGGTACAAGATCCCAATAATGAATGTAACTACTGTATACCTAAAATGTACCAATAAACTCAATAAAAGAAAAAAATGATGACTGTGTAAGCAATAACAATTTGTGATTTAAACAGGTGAGTAAAATACAAATTTCACTCCAAAATAAATACAATTGGGGCAGTCATCAAAGAATTAAACATAAAATGAAATTGTACAGAAGTGGCAGATCCGATGGGTGGAAGAGTTCACTTTTCAGCACTGAAGCAATGAAAAAAATCACAAAGACTAGAATGACAGATTGAACATTAGACTAAAACAAAAAGGGAAAGGTGGGAAAATATTTGCATTAATAATAACAAAGGAGTAATATTTACTTTTAAAATGTCTGTTCAAAGTTTGAAGAGGTTTGAACCCCCAATAGATGAATGGATACGAATAGCTCATTCACAGAAGATAAATGCATGAAATAAAATATTCATTTTGAATGTTTAGTCATCTAAGTTATGCTAAGGAAGGTAACCCGCAACTACCAATAGACATAATGCAGGGCAGAAAAGATGGCGCCCAACACTTAGAAATGTGCGTTCAACTCTTAACACGTGTTCCTTCGAGGTGATAGAATAATTGGGGCAGCTCTTTGAGAAACTGGATAGCAGTAACAGGCGAAATCACTTGGTCATGCATAGCCTTCCACGTAGGAGATTTTCCTCTCCCAGGAATTTGTCCCAAGTGCAGAACTCAAGGATGTATCAGCAAGCAACTTCAAAGAAACAAAATGTACCAGATTAGAGGGCTAAGTGAATGGATAAGGATACTTGTACACCTTAAAAATGAGAGCTAACAAAAGATTTGGGGCTGTGAATTTAGCTCAGTGGCGCCTCATCTGCCTGGCAAGCGCAAGGTCCTGAGCTTGATCTCCGGTACTGGGCGGGGGGAGATGTTAATGAGAGTTGAAACATAAGAAAATGTGTGGTTGCAACCATGTAAAGATATGTGTCTCTTTAGAAAGTTTCATCTTTGAAAAGTCAAATTCCGTAGTAATAATTGGATACTTTATTATTTTTCCATTTTCTTTCTCTGGCTGTCGTATTGTCTTTAAAGTGGTGCTTAAATAAAAAATTTGGATTCCAATCCAACCTGCACGTGACTTTGAACAAGTTGTGAGATGGGAGAGATTTCGTAGGGCAGCGGAAATCAGTGAAAAAATGGCCTGAGCTGCGTCAGGCGCAGTAGGTACCCCAGATCTGCGGGTGGGTCGCCTCCTCCCAGCAAATCCGGACCCATCGGCGTCCCAATTGAGACTTCCCTCCAGGGCCCCGGAATCCAGCTGGGCACTCCCCGGCCTCACTCTCCGCAGGGGCGGGCGCTGGACTGTCTTCTACGGGAACTTTCCGGGCAGGCGGGGGTGGCTGCGCGTCCCACCCGCATCATCGCTTGCGGGGAAGGACGACCTCGGAGAGCACAATAGCCCGTGGGTGGCTCGGGCCGCGGAGCTCTCTCGTAGCCTCCCCTTCGAGCTTCAGATCCTACTCGGGCTCCCGGATCTTCCGCCCGAATTCAGCGGCTGTCCTGGGTCCCTTCGCTGCAGGAACTTAGATGTACAGGGCGCCTGCGGAGGAAGCCTGGAGACACCGGGTGCGAACCGGCCCCAGTCGCACTTCGCAGACAGGTGGTAACTGGGTGCCCCCGGGGTCCTGAAAGACTCGCCCGATCCCCGACGTGGGTCAGGCTGGGGGCGCGGTCCCCGCGGCCCGCGACAAGCGCCCTTCTGGGAGCCGGCCGCGTTCGGGGCTTCTTTCCGCT